AAAAACTGCTGGGAACTCTGCAAAAAACGCATCTTCGCACGGGCAGCCCGTGCGTTGGCCAATTTTCATAATTGCCCCAGTCCAGAGGGTACAGCACCTACCTTATCCAGAGCATGTTGCACGATCTTTTCGCTTTCAGTGTCCAGTGCACTAGTAGCTTCATCCAGCAGCAAAATCTTCGGATCCCGTGCAAGAGCTCGAGCTATTGCAATGCGCTGTTTTTGACCACCGGAAAGCTGTACGCCACCCTCACCGATGCGAGTCTTATAGCCCTAAATAGAAAATTCACGACAACAATTGCTGTTCATTATTGAAATTTTCAAAATATATGTTAATGAGCCCTGGAGATAATTATTAGTGTAGCTAATGGGGTGCAAAATTCGATTGACACATTAGTTCAAAAATGTCTTTGTGATGTGAGATGCAAAACCCCTCTAACCGTTTCGAAAGGCATAATAAAACAAACAACCGAAAAACACGAAAGGTTGTAAGCTCAATAAATGAAACCCAGATAAAGAGACTTCAAAAATTCGAATAATGGTCACTTTCTGTTAAAAGTTAATCACGTACCGAATTGTGTCTGTTGTGTAAAATAGAGTGGACCTAGCTGACCCTTGAAGAAAATCATTCACAAAAATAAGAAAATAATTATAGGTTAAGAGCGAGGGAGTGGGGAGGTGAAAGAAAAGAAGGTTGGAATGTGAATTCTAGCCGTACACTGAAGCTAGAGAGGAAACGCCGGAAAGAAAATGAGGTGGGAGAGGAGGCAAGAGGAGGGGGAGAAATTTGAGATGGCAAATGGAAAAAATAATTGTACTGGACGAATATGCTCAAAACGCATCGCGGTGTTACCTGTGGTAAATCCTTAATGAAATTATGAGCATATGCCATACGGCATACTCGCTGCATGTCGTCGGCGGTCATTTTCCCGTTTCCTGAAATGCCGTGCCAACTTTGCAGTATCTTCGGGAGATGACTCTGGCTTCCAAGAGATGGAAGATGAAAAACCCTGCATCTTCTAGAAATCTTGGCATCCTGATTTTTGTGTTACACTCAGGATTACGACAAACTTATTAGAGGATTTAACAAAAGAGAT